TTTTTTTTTTATAAGAACTTGAAAGAGTTTTTGTTTTTTGTTTTTGTCTTTTTGAGACAGGGTCTTGCTATGGAGTTCAGACTGGACTTGAGCTCACTTTGTAGCCCAGGCTGGTCTCGAACTCACAAAGATCCTCCTGCCTCAGCCTCCCACATGCTGGGATTACAGGCATGTGCTACCACTCCTGGCTTGAAAGAGTAAATAAAATCTAAAAGGTACAATAGATATTGTGAAAAGGAAAGAAACTGCTCAAAAGGAAAGAACAACTGGGATGAGGGAAAAGAGAAAAGAAAGAAAGAAAGGAAAAAATATGTATATATGTATACACAAGATAGCTAAGATAATTGTACTACTAGTTTCTATTGCTTTATGGAAAGGAACAGTTAATGTTTAATTGTTTGATCAATCTTACATGCCTATATTTGTTTAACTGAGTAACCGATTTGAAGATAATATGTAATACAACCATTGTTAATTTCCTATTACCTTGTCTGAAATTCTGTATTGCTTCTATCGTTTTGGTGTTGTTTTGTTTATGTTTGTTTCTTTTTATTCTTTTATCTTTAAAATGAAATAAAATAACATAAAAGGGGCTAGGGATGTAGCACAGTAATAAGGCTGTGGGTTCATCCCTACTACCAAAAACAAACAAACTAAAAACAAATCAAAAGAACAGAAAAAGTATCCAGATGATAAATATTTACATTACACCTCTCCTCACAATTAAATTAATTAAATTCACAGGGGCTGGGGATACAGCTCAGTGGCACAAGTGCCTGCCTGGCAAGCGCAAGGTCCTGAGTTTGATCCCTGGTACCAGGAAAATAAATAAACAAATAAAATTCACAAAAACCTAAGACAACTACAGGGCCCAGTGGCACAAGTGCCTGCCTGGCAAGCACAAGGTCCTGAGTTCGACCCTTGACACCAATCAATCAATCCAACTGCAAATACACCTCACAGCCCCCACAACATCACTCTTTTTGAGGTACACATAAAGCTCTATTTTAATATGAAACAGTGCAATGAAACTATTACAAGGAAGTTTTCTTAGTAACTAGACTCACATGATGTTAACATTTATCTGAACCAATGACATTCTTGGGAGGGATAAGACATGCTGTAGTCATATCACTGCAGTGCAGAAGCACAAATTGTCACTGAACAGAAACAGGAGATTAGGCTGAAGACCTAGTAAAGGTTCAAAGTCCAGCGTTCGATCCCCAGCACAGGAAACAAAAATGTAGTGCTGTGCCTGCTGCTGCTGCTGCTGCTGCAGTGCTAAATCTACAAGAGGAACACACAGGAAGAGGTACTCCGCATGTCTTTTGCAAATCTACATCCACATGATGCGATCTGCTAGCAAAACAGCCACTGGGAGCAGCAGCATGTAAACACTGATCTGTTTTCCAAATGTGCCTGGTCCATGCTATCCTATTTTTAGTTAACTTCTTGATTTCTCAATGCCAAGAAAACCGCAAGATCTAAAGTAAGAATCGCTGTCATGATGATACCAGTAGTCAGATGGTTTTCTGTTCTTGCCTTTCATACCCCTCTAAGTGTTACATCAAACCTTTAGACACACAAAAAATACCAGTTCCACAAGAACTCCCCAAGTCACATGCAAGCAAAAAAGTAAAGGCAGCATTTTGTAAATACACACACACACACATACACACAGGAAAAAAAATCTACCCCCCCACACATAAATGCAAAAACTAAAAATTTAATCTGGGAATGAAAGCTTACAGTCCCTTTTCTATAGCCTAAATCTATTAAAAAATTTAAATCAGCTCAAGCCCACCAAACATGGCACTTTTAAAAAACAGCTGCACAAGAAACTTAGCAGAATCTAGAACTGTGTTCATATCTCATATAAGCCAGTTTTATGTCCAAAAAGAATCAAAGCCACATAAGCTTTACATTTAAAAGTGAATTACAGGGCCAGGGATATAGCTCAGTGGTTGGTATAAGTGGCTGCCTGGCAAGTACAAAGTCTTGAGTTCGATTTCTAGTACCAAAAAAAAAAAAAAGTGAATTACAGCCAGGCATGGTGGCACACGCCTGTAATCCCAGCACTCAGGAGGCTGAGACAGGAGGATCGTTGAGAGTTTGAGACCAGCCTGGGCTACAATGTGAGCTCAAGGCCAGCCTGAACTACACAGCAAAACCTGTCTCAAAAAGGAAAAAAAGAAAAAAAAAAGCTGAATTACAGGTGATGCACACCTGTAATCCCAGCACTTGGGAGGCTACAGCTTGGGCTCCATAGTAGGTTCAAGGTGCAGCCCTACAAAGGGAGACCCTGTCTCCAAAAAACTTTTTTAAAAAAGTGAATTCAACCTTTATTAACAATATACTGTCATATGAAGAATGAAGGGAATAGAACTAGAAGACCGGAAAGAATCGTATCTCTTAATACCCAACTATTAACATCACATATTACATCAGGCTTGGAAGTATCAAAATCTTGAAAGAACAGCTAGTTACCATGGCACTCTTATAAGACAGAACAGTATTATTCATTAGAACATCAGTGATTGAACAGTTTTTCAAAAGCAGTGTTCAAATTTAAATTTGCAGAAAAAACATGAAAATATGTCAATTAGTTATGGTAAAAAAGTTTTGAGGGCCTGGTAATTAACAAAATAAACATGTTTACAAACAACTGTGCAGTATGAATAAGAATTGCAGAATGAGGAGTATGCTATTAAAGTCAAAACTGACTTATCTAAGCATTCTCCTTGTAAATATGCTTTACCATAACAATGATTTCCTTTATAACTAAGTGGCTATGACAACTGACAAAGGGAAATGAAAATAAAATAACCATCAGGCATATTAATCTAACTAATTGTACAACTCCATCTAACAGTTTCTCTTGAATTTTGCAATAACATTAAGATGTTACGTTAATAGAGTTCTTATATTTCTGTTCTGTTCAGCAAATTTTTATGTGCCAAGGTCTTTATTCAGAGCCAAGTATAAGTGTTCTCTAGAGGACCTCAGTTAATATTACATAAACGTCACTTTCGTTAAATTGAAGAAAAGGAAGTTAATCTAATCTAAAAGGAAAGCTAAGAATTCACCTCCTTCTGAAAAAAATATTATTCCAATGATCATTTGAAGGTTGACATATACCCTATATACATAAACTTGAAAGGTTATTGCAATTAGTAAATTATCATCTCATGAAGATTAAATCATACAGTACAAAATATTTGATTAAAAGTGGCAGCCAGGGGTGCTGGTTCATGCCTGTAATCCTAGCACTAGGACGCTGAGGCAGGAGGGTCACTGCGAGTTCGAGGCCAGCCTGGGCTACAAAGTGAGTTCAAGACCAGCCTGAACTGCACGGTGAGAACGTCTCAAAAAGACAGAAAAAAACAAAAGTTTCTACAACTATCTTTTACCCTTATTTTTCTAGACCACTCTCCTAAAAACATTCGTACATTATGTGCAAAGCAGCACGTGAATATTCCTCCTGCAAATGTGTCAAAAGTAGTCCTCAAATTTTCAAGAGGTAATTCCGGTCCCGGAGTTATCAGTGAGAGGAAGATCTGATAAGCTCCGGGGCTGTGACATATCTGCCGCTTTATTCACCATATTGACCATATTTTCACCCCACGGCCAATACACGTAACAACTCAGGCTGTGAAAGCGCTGTCAAGTCAAAATCAGCATATGTAACATCCTAGTGTCCAAACTCCTCTTCAAGCTGGAGTTTTCAGATTAAAAGGTAATCCCAGCATAAGGAAGGTTGAGGCAGGAGGAAATTAAGAGCGAATATATTAAATTTTTTTTCAAGATTTAAACTCGTCTGACACTGAAACGTATTTAAGGGAGAAGCACAAGAAGAAAGACTGAAGCGCAGCACTACTATTAGAGAAGAAATCCAAATGACATCTGTACTTTCGGGAGCACTCCTGGTACCACCGTCTACAAGCATCACTTCCTCTCCACAACTTCCCCCAGTCCCGGGAGCAAATCAGTGATGAACACCGCCCCTCTTTCAGATTCTTCGAAGAATCACTGTCCACAAAGAGCAGAGCCCTACAGCCCAAGCTGGTGTCGACAGACACTGACCTGTAAAGATGCCCAAGCCCTAAATGCGATCCCCAAGGGCTCCTTTCCTTTCTTAATCACGTTTCTCTTTTTCGATGCTTCTCTGCACCCTCTGGGCCGGAGGACTCCCCACCCAACAGCCCCCTTGAGGACCCTCCTTCCAGGCACCCTGACTCCTGCCTCCGCGGCCACCGTGGCCACCCCGCTCTAGCCCTCGCCCCGGGCCTCGCACGGGCGCCGGGCCTGCTCCTCGGGCCCCCATCCCGACCCGCAAGCCCTCAGCATCTCTTCCTCCGGTCCGCGCCCGCGAAGACCCCGGGCTCTTCCGCCCGCCCTCGCCGCTCTCAACCCCGCGAGCGCTCGCCTCCGCGCGTGCCCCGGCCCTCACCCGCGGGCCGCCGGCTCCGCGATCTCCATTTCCTCGGGATTCCATTCCAGAGCGGCCTTGCCGGCTGCTCAACCGTCTCCCCCGCCGGCCCCGGCCCCGCCCCGCCTCCCCACTCACCCAGCTGCAGGCGCCCCCCAGTCTCCCCTCGCCTCCGCCTCGGCGCCCGCTCACCTCCGCGGTGGAAGTCGGAGTCCCCGGACACACCTCCGACTCGGCGTCCGAGGCGCCGCCGGAGTCCGGCGCCCTCCGCTCCTCGCCGGAGTAAAG